CTTGGAGGGAGATAGCGGATGGGAGCCATGCAACACCCCGGAGGGCCCAAACCCTGCCTCCCGCCCGCAGCTGCCTGCTGTGTTACCTCCTCAGGGCTGGAGGTGACAAAGCTGCTTGCATAGCTGCTGAGAAATTGTGCCGCTGGGATGGGGCACAGCAGGCTGGAGCATCGGGCCAAGCCTGGCACTTGGAGGGAGATAGCGGATGGGAGCCATGCAACACCCCGGAGGGCCCAAACCCTGCCTCCCGCCCGCAGCTGCCTGCTGTGTTACCTCCTCAGGGCTGGAGGTGACAAAGCTGCTTGCATAGCTGCTGAGAAATTGTGCCGCTGGGATGGGGCACAGCAGGCTGGAGCATCGGGCCAAGCCTGGCAGCCTGCCCTGCGGATGGACCACAGCAAAAACCGTAGCGGGTGCAAGGCTGTGCTGCGTGGTTGGTTCCCCTGGTAGGAATGCTCTTTGGTTGCATCAGGAGCTGGCCGTGTTCCCCTGTGTTGTGCTTCAGCTGGCGAGGCAGAGGAGTAAGTCTTGAATGTGCAGGTTTAGGAGGTCTGGCCCCGGCTGCAGTCTCCCTCCTGATCCATAACCCCGGGTGCAACTGGCTGGATGTGGATGTGGGAGCCCCATCCGTGGGGACTGATGATGTTATCTCTCACGTGAGCCTGCCACATAAAGAATTGTGCAGTAAGAGAGAAGAAATTTGAGGAGCCTGCAGTTTGCAGGTTTGGGGTTTTTTTGGAATAGATGACAGGCCTTTAATGAAATGCTGCTGGGGCTTGTTCTTCTTCCCCGTCCTGTTGGTGACCAAGTGATGCTGCTTGGTGGTTGGCAATTCAAGGGCTCCATCCTCATTTGGACTTCTTGCTTCTCCTGACATACACCGTGAGAAGCTCCAGTGAAGGAAAAAACATCCTGCCCAGGGCTATTGGCAAAGGGAGTGAGGATCTAACAAGCAAATTAAAAAGCCTGTCCATACTGTGTGCTGTGAAAAGGCTGGTACTCGCGATTCCCTTTCGGGGGGTGGTTTCGGTCCACCGTACACCTCAGCATTGTGGTGTTCTTTGGGTCTGCTCCATCTTTCATAACCACTGCCATGTGTCGGCATTTACTGCTTTCTGCTGGTAAATAAAATGCTGCGTTTAGGGATGGAGGAGGGATGGTCAGTCCAACTGAAATACATGGCAAGGTGTTTATTTTTTTTATGAATAAGGCAAATCATGCATTTGCTCCTGCTCCGTCAGTGCTTGCCTTGAAATGGGGGTCTTATGGAGACGGGGAGTAACTGTAGCTTCAAGGTCTGGTTTGCCAATGGTTTTTAGCATCGAGTTTTATGCGAACAGCACCATACTGCTCCTATAAGCCCGGCTTTTGCAGGGTACCGAGGGACTTATTTTTACAGAGAGGATGCATTTACCTTGCTGAAGGTTGCATGAAAATGCACGTGCCTGTTCTTTACTCATTGCTACCTTGAAAGCAAAACACACCTGAAAGGAGATGATATTGTCAGCTCGTGCTGGCAAGTGAAGCCCAGGCTTGCCCTGTGTACGTGTAGATGCTCAGCAAAGGCATCGAAGCCAGAAACTTAGTTGTCGAAGCTCCATTGACTTTTCGGGAAGAGAGTTTTTAGGTGGGCTGAGTTGCTCTCTGGAGTTGTCCCGTTTCCAGTGATTTCAGATGGAGCCAGGAGGGAGAGCACTCCTAATGCTAAATAGATAAGAGCTCGCTGGGATGAATCTGGACCTAATGAATGCCGCTGGGGTTTGTAACTTGGGTAAAGTTTCAAGCAAGTACAGCAAAGCATTTCAGAAACTGTAAGGGAACCCAGCATTACAAACAGTCCCTGAGAGGGCAGTGATCAGTGGGGAACCCACAAATGTGAAGCACCCGATTTCAGAACACATGCTGAGCGGGGGCATGGTGCAGAATAAGCTCCTCGTTCCCCGCTCTCTCTTCTAGCTGCCGGCCCATGTTCCCCGTCTGCTTTTCTCCAGCACAGAGACCCATTTGCTCCACGTGTATGGGTTTATTTATTTACTTATTTATTTATTCTTTCCTCTCTAGGCTTCTGGGCCGATCGAACACCAGTTCATGAAGCAGCCAGGCGGGGAGAAATCCTGCAGCTGCAGCAGCTGATAGAGAGCGGAGCCTGTGTCAATGCGGTCACCTATGACTCTATCACCCCACTGCACGAGGCCAGCCTGCGAGGGCAAACGCAGTGTGTCAAGCTCCTGCTGGCTGCAGGGGCCCAGGTGTGCAGTCGGGTCTGATCCAGCTGGGAACATCATCTTGATGTCTGAAGTTATTTCTGGGATCTGGATTCTCCCCATTTAGCTCTAGGCTCTTCTTCATCACCCTGGGCTTTCTTGACAGTCAGCAGAGGAGGGCAGGCCTCTTCAGAGGGTGTTTGAGCTTGATGAGGACTTAAAAAACTGCCTGAAAGTATTTCTCTCTCTGTCTCTCCCCCTCTCTCCTCAGTGACTATCAGCAGAGCCCGGCGTGACTAGAAATCTAGTTTAGATGACTCAAGTATCTAAAGCTAGCTGGGATGAATCCAGAGGCCAGAAGGGGAGCAGGGGACATGTAGCTTCCAGAGGGGATTTACATTTATTCTTTTGTTTCTTCTTCTATTTCTTTAATTTTATTATGGAAACAACAATCAGCTAAACAGAGTCTTTGGATATAGCTGGCGACGACTGTCTTCAAGGGCTTGTGATTTCTCACATGCTAAGGACAGCTGTCCTCAGAGGAAAGCCGGGGAAGTGGAGCATGCGTGCGCTCCGTGGTCCTTCTCAGTGCAAAGTCAGCCAGCTTGGCTCGGTCCGCTGGTGAAGCTGGGCTTTGCACTAAAGCAGAGAGGAGTTGCATCGTATTACTCAGCTGCTTTTTTCAGCAGGAAAGCGGCAGAAAAATATAATGATGGAAATAACAGCCGAAACTTGTGACATTGATGTAAATCTGTCCCCTGAGAGTAATGGGAACAGCACGAGCCAGGTTGCTGGCAGTAACAACCAACTCTTTCCTGAGTCCAGACTATTTCTAGATTTAAAAGAACTGAAAACGTAGGCAAGAGGGTACCGTCACACAGCAGCCTGCGGGTACCTAACATTTTTTTTTCTACCTTGAAGGTGGATGCCAGGAATATCGATGGCAGCACTCCGCTCTGTGATGCCTGTGCCTCGGGTAGCATAGAGTGTGTGAAAGTGCTGCTGTCCCATGGCGCCAAGGTGAACCCTCCCCTTTACACAGCGTCTCCTCTCCATGAAGCCTGCATGAACGGTAAGTCCACGTGGTCTTATCTTTGCATGGTTATTTGCAGCTTGGAAAAAAAAAAATCAGCAAAAGCAGCTGCCAAGTATCTTAAATTGACCGTGTTGCTCATCAGACCGTTACAGCTTGCAAATATATCTGCCTTACGTGGGCAGAGCTCCCTTTGAACGCAGAATGCAAAGCGCTGCGGTATCAGATGAATAAAGCCATCCCTTGTGTTGGGTGCTTTTATCCCACATGACGGACATGGGATATGTTAGGCAGATAAAGCACCAGCTCCTTGATGCTCTGCTAGAAAACCTTGAGCCAAACCAGTAGCTTTGCTCTTGCGAGCAGAGGGGAGTTTGCATCCTTTCCCTCTGATCCAAGTTGAGATGGGATAAATTGTTCTGATTAAGATGTAGAATGACATGACATGATTAAGACATGAGACCGTCTTCATCAGGTGGTCCTGTCCCAGACCCCTCCTGGTTGTTCAGAGCTGATGGATGAAGCTGTCAGGTGCCAGGGACTGTGGGGCAGCATTGCTGCCTGTACTGCTCCTTGTCCCTCTCTCGGCCTTTTCCAGCTGGAGGGTCTGTCCAGGGGATAAGAGAAAACTACAGGGGCCAAAATAATGTTCCAGCTGGCACGTGCCAGCTGCTCTCTGCCTCCCCTGTCCTCTACTCAAGCCTCTCCTGGGTGTTTGGATCGGGGTTACAGAGCAAGAGCAAGCATCAGGGGTGGCTGTGATAGCCGCAGAGGCGGAAGAAGTGGCGGAGGGGTATTTGAGTGTAATTCCAACCCTGAACTTACACTTGCGCAAATGCAACAGCAGGAAAGCCGGGATGTGAGAGTGGCAGTCTCCCCGTTAGATAATTGTGACCAAATCTTTCAATCGTGTTGTGCCTCAGTTTCCTCTTTGTAAGATGTAATACCTCCTCTCTCCCTCCTTCACTGTTTTTGTTATATGCTGTCCTGGACAGTTTCCCTTCGACTACGAAGGCTGTGGGAGTCAGCATTTTTGACAAAAAGGTAGTTACTTAAATACCTAGCTGTGAGCTCTTGCTTAGTTTTTCCTCATTAAGCCTTTTTCCTAAGGCTTGTTGATGACTGCCTGCTTTCTGTTAAGTCGTATTATTAGCACTGGAAAAAGTAAAGCTGGAGTAGTCTTGAAGGTGATCGAATCCACCCAGGGCAGGCTCAGCAATACAACCAGCTACATGAACAACAGGCAATTTAGTGCAAACCCTTGAATTCAGGTTTGTTTGACCTGACTCCCTGCGAGACCTGTTAGCTCTAGCTCACCTAGCAGATGTGACTCTATTTCTTGTGCCCTGGTCTCAGTCTCGATCCTCCAGTGTTGGCTCACAAGCATTTCTATTTTTGCAGCCATCACCCCAGATATCAAACAGGCTGTTTGTGGGTCAAGCTGATCTCAGCATCCCATATGCTCCCATTTGAGCCGGTTTCTTTCTTTTGACTTGCATCTTCCCTTTCTAAAGGTAGCTCAGAGTGCGTGCAACTCCTCATTGACGTCGGTGCAAACTTGGAAGCTCACGACTGCCATTTCGGGACGCCCCTACACGTGGCCTGTGCCAGGGAGCATCTGGACTGTGCAAAGTTGCTGCTGAAGGCAGGTACGGCAGCCGCAGGCTTTGCTTCTGGGTGGGCAGGAGACGGTGGTGTCTGTGCGCAGCGTTTCCCTCGGTGTTCCACAGCGGCATTCTTGTCGAAGAGTTTATTCATTCACAGCATAATACAGATGACAAAGGTGAAAGGTTTTGCCTTTACCTGAGCAAAGCTTAATGCTTAAGCGTTTTTTTTGGCGTACGCCTGTCAATATCCAGTCTGTGATGTTCCCAGTGACATTCCCATTCTCTTATTTTAATAAAATTCAGAACTCTTCAGCCCCCTAGAGCGAAGTTTCAACTTCTTCCCAAAAGTGGTATCAACTGGTTCAGCTTTGGTAGCACAGTCATATTGTTTTGGATGGGTGTTAAGGAGAAATGTTAGGGTTTGATGTTGTACAGAAAACCAGAGATGAAGTCACTTCATACCTCAGGGAGATCTGGTTAGTGTTACACCCACATGAGTTTGCTAGATGTTCAAGTTAATGTTCTATGCTCCAGGTTTCACATCCCAGTTTTCTTGCTGCTAACTTTGGGGAATTTGGCATTGGACTTCTTGTCTTTGCCTGTGTTTACCAGGAGGAGATTTGTCCCAGAGGTGGGGATTTGTTTCATTGAACATTAGTTGTCTAAAAATTACACATCTAAGCTAGTTTGTTTCCAGCGGCTCCGGTTCCCTGTCATTAATTGATTCCCCAGAAATGCCTGTTTCTCCCTGTTAATTTTAAGGGCAGCTCGGTATGGCTACACATATCTAAAAGTCAATTGTTTGAATTCAGTGAGGTTTATCTCACCGCTGCTGAACAACTCGGTTGACAAAATGCAAGCATTGTGGGGGGATTGGAAAGACCTTTTGCTGTCAGCTTATAAAAGCCAGACTTTCTTAGCAAAAATATCTGTAAAACTTGATCCTGCAGTAGTGTCTGATGGTGAGCTGCCACATCTTGTGGGTCTGGGGTATTTCTGCTAACAAAGATGTCACTGTTTGCCTTGAGTGGGAGCACTCCATTGAGATGACTGGGAATGGTTCTTGGCTGGCTTTGGACAGCACAGCTTCAGGAAGCAGTTTTGAACTTCACACTCAGCAGCTTATTTACCCAGTAACATGGACTAAAATCCTTTCTCTGCAAGGAAAACGTAAACCCAGAGAAGAAAATTCATGCATTGCCAGCACCGAGAACTTGTTCAGCAGTTTGGTTTCCTGTTTGTGCTGTTTTGTTTGGATCTTGTTCTAGCTGGTCGTGCGTTTTTTAACAGCATTTTTTTCTCCAGTCAAACCACTCCTTACGTTTGGGTCAAGTGAGGCTTTCATGAACAGGCTTGTCTTTCTTTCTGGCCTCAGGGGCAAATGTGAATGCTGCTAAACTTCATGAGACAGCCCTCCACCATGCAGCAAAAGTGAAAAACGTAGATCTGGTGGAGATGCTGATTGAATTTGGAGGAAACATTTACGCAAGGGACAACCGAGGAAAGAAGCCATCGGATTACACCTGGAGCAGCAGTCCCACAGCAAAGTGCTTTGAGTACTATGAAAGTAAGTGAGATATGATCGCTGCCCCAGGAATTCAGTGACTGCCAACTCCATTGCACCACATCATGATTCTCAGTCGGCTTTGATCTGTAGGTCCCTGATCATCTTCCTGTGAAGGTAGCGAGTTCTTGGTGGCAAATGTACGCCAGCTGGCTGTAGGCTAGCTCTGCTTAATTGTGGTTGAATGACAGTAGTAAGATGGTTCAGATCATGCCGTCACTGAATTCAGGTCCCTCTCATGTGGCAGCATCAACCTTTATGCTTTGGTGCTTTAAGTTTGGTCAAGGAAATCGCCCAGTTGAAAACTCCTTTTATTTGGGGCAGGGAACGCATTAAACTTTAGCTGCACTGGCTGTCTGATTTTGGAGGAGGCGTTTGACTGAGGTTTGAGGATGGCTTTAAGTCAGTCTTTGTCTTGGTTACCCTTAGAGGAGTAATGCACAGACCTTTCCAAGCATTTGCAGACTGCTGCTGCACTAGATGATCCTAAACATCATAGAATCCTAGAATGGTTTAGGTTGGGAGGGACCTTTAAAAACCACATAGTCCAACCCTGCTGCCATGGGCAGGGACATCTTGCACTAGATCAGGTTGCTCAAAGCCCTGTCCAGCCTGACCTTGAACACTTCCAGTGATGGGGCATCCACAGCTTCTCTGGACAACCCGTTCCACTGTCTCACCACCCTCATCATAAAAAAATCCTTCTGTATAGAAGAATAAAGTATTTTCTGGCTTTGCAATCCTTTGTGTTGTGAGCACCTTATAGCCCCTTCTCCCTCTGACTTCTCTTCTCCCTGTAGCATGCTCTCCTCCAAGTTATTCATTGCTGTGTTTTCTTAGAGAGCCGTGAAGCGTGCTGGTCTGGCTGCAGCTGAGCTGGCTGAAGAGATTGAATCCTACATGCCCATAAATACTCCTTATATCTCACCAGAGTTTGCTGCCCTCTAAACCCAGCTGTCAGAACTGCACGTGTAGTTGCTTTTCAACGCAGGCTGTTGTAACAGTACTGTGCTAGCTCTAATAGTGGTTTTTTTTCCTTTTGATTTGTATCATTAAATTCGGGACTAGAGCCAGGATGGATGCAGATCTTGGAGGCTGGTGATTACAAAGGCTGTGGGAGTAGGGAGAACAGCTTCTTAGGACTGACTACTTCCAGAGCAATGTGCCCAATTGTAACTGCACAAGCATCAACACCCGGTGTCGAGGCTGTGGGCTGTGGATTGGGGGCTGTCTGGACGGGGCTTGGGGAATTTTATTGGAGCTCTCAGCAGAGTGCTGAATGAAAAGGGTTAACGCAATCCTTAGATGGAGGAATGGAGCAGTAGAGAAGTGTTGGAAGTAGGTTTTGTTCCTATATACAATGTTGCTGAGGCTTAATACAGCATCACTAAGGGAAATCTGAAAGTCTTGGATAGCCCCAGTGGATCAGAGGAGGTGATCCAGTGGGCGCTGTTGGCCTTTGAGGGATGCAGGTGAGGAAGGGAGCTGGGAGAAGCGTGCTGCAGCTGTGCTCACTGTTTCTGGTGGGATTTGCATCAGGATGAGCCTTGAGAGAGCACACCCGTGGCTCTGCGGTGCCTTCCTAGGGCCTGGGTGCTGTGGGAGGTCGAGCGCTTGTAAGCAGAGCCAGGCTTGTGATCACGGTGGGGGCAATGCCAGGCGTCACCCTCCTGGGAGGTCTGCGCTCTGCGGGAAGATCAGCCGTCCGCTACGCTGCAGTCCTAACTTTGGATCTTCTTTTCTCCTTTTAGAAACGCCTCTGAGCTTGTCACAGCTTTGCAGAGTTACGGTGAGGAAAGCCGCTGGGCAGCGAGCACTGGAGAAGATTGCCAAGCTAAATATTCCTCCGCGATTAATCCAATACCTGTCCTACAACTGACAGGGGCGAAGGTGGCCAGGAAGGACGATATCTTTGGCTCCTGCAGTATGAAGTATCTGTCTCTTTCTCTTCTACCTCCCCCCAAGAAACTAATTTTAATTTAAGCAAACTGGTGTAAATAGTATTTATGAGGCAGCACTTCCTGTTCTCCATGGGCAAAGACAGGCTCAGGCAACGTGTAGCACTGGCTTGAAGTTGTAACCTCTCCTGGGGTGATCTGTTAGACTGTCACTGTGTTTGAGGCTGTAGCGCTCGCTCTTTGAGCGGGATTAATCTTGCCTAATTTTACCTGTCTGTAGCCTAAAGGCATCTCCGTATGATCTAGCCAGGCTCCCTTTGCAGTCAGTGGAGAGAAATAGATCCTTCTGGAGCATGATTCATCTGTCCTATTTTAGGTGCCTGTGCTGGGATGATAGGGTGTGCCTTGGGAGCACCGGTCTCCGCTGACTGCAAAGGGATTTAGAGGTGATACCCTCGGATACGGACGTCTGTGTTTCTGCAGTGGGAGCGCTGGATCCCACCTCTGTGTTAATAACTCAAGTGACAGCTGCCTAATGACAAGGGACAAGGCTCGAGAGACCTGCGCGCTCTAGCTGGAGGCAAATTAAGTCCCCAGCAAGCTCAGGAATAATTAGAGGCACTGCAACTGGTTACTGACTTTCCATGAACTTCAGCGGGCTTTGGCTCAGCACCAGCAGTGAGGACAAACTGCTGCCAGATCAGGATTGACTTTGCCCGTGCTCCTTCCTCGCTGTAGGTGAGCCAGCTCTTACTGTAGTGTTCCTCTAGGGTATCACCACGTTTAATTTGCAAGCCCAAGCAGGAAGCAGGTCTCTCTGCATGTCCAAGGATGCTTCCCTCCAGATGGCTGGTCCCAAAGAATATTTCTCCACTTGCTCTGAGCCCTGTGGCCACCCTGTTGGTTTTACGTGCAATAAGTGGCAGAGCTGCTGCCCGGAGGTGCCTGAAGTACGTTGAGGGCATGTCCCTTGTGTAGTGGTGCAGCAGATCCCTGTGGTGTATACCCATTGCGTGAAAGGCAATAGGAGGGCTGGGCTCTGCCTTGGGTTTTGACATTTTTATTTTTATTTTTCCCCCTCTGAGTTTCTCTCTCAATGCTGGAGCCTCTCCAGAGGTTGGCAGCGGGAGCTGGCCCTGAGCCATGTGCTGCTGAGTGTTGTGCTCGAATCTTTTGGCTTCAGCAGGCGTGACTGCAGCTTTGTCCTTCAGTGATTTTAAACCTTCAGGGTGACATTTGTATGAGCAGAGCCAAAAATTATCATCTACCATCCTGATGAGGCGTTACGTGTTGTCTGAAGGCAGTAGCCTACTGGTTACGTGGTACTAAGGGAATGGAGCTCCAAGGTGCCACCATGGCAAGTCTTAGCACTGTGATGACAACAAATTCCTCCTCTGAATGACAGCAGATGTTATGAAATCCGCTGTCTAATGTGACAGGATGTCTCAACATCCTTCATGCTGTGAACTAACACTTGAGAGCAAACGCTCGCTTGCCTGCTGCCTGCAAGATCTCGTGCTCCTCCAGCCAGCACGATGGGGCTCAGCCTCGGGAGGGAGGCGGAAAATAGGATGAGCACAGGGTTAAAGAGCTGAGGTGGAACTGAATGCACTTTAATGGTGACCAGCAAATCACTTTGTTTTTTAACTTTTGTTGAGGTTTGTTTCCCCCCTGCATCCCTTTGTTGTTTTTTTTTTGTTTGTTTGTTTGGGGTTGGGTTTTTTTTTTGCTGTGCAGTTATTGTATAGAACAGGACAGAAAAAGGTTCGAGATCCTGCTCTTTGGGGGATTGTCTGTTTGTAATTCTGATTTTTGTGTTTAAAGGATCAGAAATGTGAAATTGCCAAGAAGCTCAGGGAAGCCCTAGAGATCTTTGTTGTGGGATTCATCCCTGTGATTGATAGGATAAAGGTTTTGTATTGTATCTTTCAAGAAAAGCTTCCTCTGCCCAACGTGCATTTCCTTACAGATAAATATGTATTAGGAAAGTGCACCTTTTGGTAATTTGGGGTGTAAACCTTCCCTCTTGGTTCAAATTGAAATCCCTTGTTGGGTTGCTTTTTTAACATTGCCTAAGCTAGTGAAATAATGAAATTATAAAGTCCCAAGTTTCCAATGTCAAAACAAAAGACTCCTCGAACAACTAAGAATAAAATTACAAGTTCCTATTTATGTCATTATTTTATTCCTCTCTTTTAAGTCACTTCTCTGGTAGGTTCTAAAGTTTTGGTTATTTTTTTTAATATCTTTTAAGAGGTCCTGCTGATCAATGCACGCAGCCAGGGAGGACTTACCAAGAGAGCTAAGCACCTCTTATTTGGTGGCAATAGCCAAACTTGTTCAGTAGCAGTTTTCTTAAGACATCTGCTTCTTATGGCCATGTCTGGAGGGAGAGGTTTTCCAGGAAGGTCCTTTGGGAGTCAACGAGCTAAAAAACAACACCCGAGTTGTTCCCCGGTGTGCCATGGTACTGAGGCAGGTGGCCGGATCATGCCATGGCTGTTTTAAACACCTGATGGGTGTTTACTTGTGCGTTTCTGGGTTTCTAAACTGCAAGTGAAAGTTGAGATTGAGATTCTTTTTCATCTTTTATCCAACCTGCCTAGCCCTCAATTTTTTTAATCTTGCAGGGATTTCTCAGCTGGTTGTGAAGCATATTCTGAGCTATTGTTTTACAGCTCAGAGTAAAGGCAAAGTAGATGCCAAATTAAACCAATGCGATGTTTTTTTGGCTTCCCTTAATATCTCAGACTGCAATTTTTGTGGCAGCTAGCAGTTACTGCATGAGTAGCGGTATCATCCTTGCCACAATATAGTCTGGATAGCTGGGAATTGCTGCAGCCATCCCAAACTAAGATGAAAATTAGAAGCTTTGGAGATAACATTGCCCTAACAGGGGTTGGGGGCTACGCTGGGGGTCAAATTTGGATTACAGACTCTCCTCTCCTGGTGAATTGCTGAGGGTACCTCCACTTAACTGATACAAGAGGCTGCGGCAGGTCATTGGAGAGCCATCCCCAGCACTCCGCTGCTGCAAAACCATCGCACTGTGTCGCCCTGCTTGACGTGAGCCACAGAAGTGGACGGCTCAGGATCGCCCGCAAGACATCCCAGAGGCTGTGGACGTGCTGTTCTGTATCCCATTAAGCTGTACCCGTCTCTCATTGCACCATCACATTACAGGTATGGGTTGGGAAAGGCAGTTGTGGCTGCCCCTGAGAGATTCCTCCTCTGGTTATTTTTGCACTGGTTGTGTTTTGTTTCTTACGTGTATAAGAAAGAAGGTCTCAGGAGGACCTTATTGTCTGGAAGTTTTACGCATCTCGCCCAGGTGATGTACCCTCTGGCCACGTAGGGTTGATTTCTCTCAGTTATGGGTTAAAAAACTTGGAGGTCCCAAACACCCAATTCACGCTTAGTTTATAGGGACTGGGTGCCTTTGCTGCTTCAGTGGCAGCTGAAGGACCCATGGGTTTGCAAAGAGTTTGGGGATTGCTGGGAATGAGAGAGACTGTCTAAATCACGGGCATTAAGTGAAACTCTTCAGCTGACTCTGCTTGGGTTACACCCTTTGCTTCATTTTTATGTCAGGTGCTGGCTATTATTTGACTTCCTTCACCCATTAATCCAAATGTCAAATCAGGGCATGAATCCAGTGCAAACAAACCCAAACCCACCAGGCCACTCCTGCTTTCATCTGTACCCTTCCCAGGCTCCCCAAACTGCAAACCCAGTTGAGCATTTCGGGCCACCTCCCCTCTCCTGTGGGTTTCTCCACCAGCTTTGCTATGGGTCCAGCAGCACATGGAGCGGTCTGAAATAACCCCGCTGCTTTGGGGAAGCCCAGCTGAGAATAGGGCTTTGCTTTCATCTGTGAAAATCATCTTTTGGGACAGTCAGCCTTGCTCCTGGACGCTGCTGGTTGCTGGTCGGCTCGCGAGTGGGGAGCTTGATCGTAGCAGCTTTTCTCCAACTATGTGAAGTTTGTCCAGAAAAAACAAGGTGTGACTGAAGCCGATGCCTTGGAAGAAAGCCTCACGGTGCTGAAGAATTAACTCCTTGTAATGCCAGTATCCATTGCTTTCCCCGGACGAGGCGGAGAGGAGCCACCCTTCCCCTCTGTGCATGAAGGAAGGATTTGTGCTGTTGGTTGCAGCTCCCCAAGTCTTGGCGTAAAGAAACGGCGGTGAAGGGAAGACATCAAACACAAATAGGATTGGTATGTTTATTTTTTAATGTCTTCAGAGGAGTTTGTACGAGAGAGCAAACTCCAGGAGCTGCCCTAACCTTAGCATCGGCAAACAAAGACCTCAGTGTCCTCTGGAAAGTGGCATCGGAAGATGAGTAATGCAGTGGTTGCATCACGTTTAGGGCAAGCATGAGCAGGAAGTGTCTGTTCTACCTCTTGATTTAAAAAAAAACAACTCAAACACTGACGACCTTGAGTATATGATCTACCTGAGCTTTCACACACCCTGTTCATCACTTCCCTCCTTTCTTCAGGGGAATGAGTGATCTTGCAGGCACTTGCAAGAAGATGGCGCCTGTCCCGCACGCTTGAGTGGGAGCTGGTGTAAACCAAGTTGGGGGGGGGTCTCTGCTGACTTGTGCTTGCTTGAGGTCCAGCCTTGGCCAGCTCGGAGGCTGGTGAACGTCCTGCTCCCTGGCCTGGGGGCGGCTGGAGCACCGGTTGTTTTGAAATCAGGGTTTTTAAGGCCAAGGTTGTTATTTTCAAACTTAAAGCCAGCACCTAAATCTGTAGCAAGGTAGCAAAGCATAAGGGAGTTAAAAAAAAAAAAACCTTAAGGCCAAGGTTGTTATTTTCAAACTTAAAGCCAGCACCTTAATCTGTAGCAAGGTAGCAAAGCATAAGGGAGTTTAAAAAAAAAAAAAACACTACTGATTTCTTAGGGCCTCTCAAAACCTTGATTTCTACGTGGCATCTTTAGGTTCCCCTGTGCTGTTAGTTAACCCCGGGCTCTCCTCCCTGCATGCTACCAGGGACAAAAACCTCATGTGTCCTGCA